TCTAATTTTTGTGGCAATAGACTCTTGCTCTTGCTCTGGCTGGTATCAAACTCCTGGCCTCAAGCAATCCTTCCACCTTGGCTTCCCAAAGTGTTGGAATTACAAGCATGAGCCAATGCACCCAGCCAGTATCTTTTAATTATTCAAGAGAAACTGAAATTCTAGGATTTTAAGTGAAATCTGATTTTGAAAGGTTGGCAATCAACCAATTTTTTAAAATGTGGGAATGGGTAAATTGACATACTGCTATGGACTGAATTGCGTTATCCCCAAAATTCATATATTGAAGCCTTAACCCTCAATGTGACTATATTTGGAGATAGGGCCTTTATGGAAGTAATTAAGGTTATTCTTTTTGACCTTTACATGTGGTTCAAATGGAAGTAATTAAGGTTAAATGAGCTCATAAGGGCAGGGTTCTGATCTGATAGGATTAGTTTCTTTATATAAGAGCAAACACCAGAGAGAGCTCACTCTGCCCACTTGCACAAAGAAATCAAACGAGCACAGTGAGGAGGTGGCCTTCTACAACTCAGGAGGAGAGGCTTCACAAGAATCTGACCATGCTAGCACCGTGATCTCAGACTTCTAGCCTCAAGAACTATGAGAAAATAAATTTCCGTTGCTTAAGCCACTCAGTCAATGGTATTTTGTTGTGGCAGCCCAAGTCCCCTAATACACTACGTACAAAGTGTTATTGCTATTACAAACAACACTGCAAAAGTCTGGAATTATCTTAAACATCAATCAATAGAAGACTGTTTTAAAAAATTGTGGCTCATCCATATAGTAAAAAACTATGTAGTCAAACAAAAGAATGAGGCTTTAAAAAATGTACCTACGTGGGAATATCTCCAAAGTATATTTTTAACTAAACAAAGCAAGTTGTAGGACAATATGCAGAAAGTGTTACCATCTGTGTATTAAAGGCAAAGGGGAAGAAAAAAATATATATATACCCATCATTTGCTTGATATGCATTAAATATCCCTGGACAGATTCCTAATAAACAGATAACTTTAGCCGCCCCCAGTAAGGCAAAATGAGTGGCTAGGGGACAGAAATAGGAGGGAGACTTTTCACTGTATGTATACCCTTTTGTATATGTTGGATTTTGAACCATGTGGAATAAATTACTAATTTAAAATACATTTTTAAATGAAAGTTTAAAAATTTTATGGGAAACAATAAAAAGGGTGAGCTGTATTTGGTCTGCAGGCTAATTGTTTGTACCTCTTGCCTAAATTAAGGTGGTGGAAGTTAGAATAAAAAGAAAGAAACTGAAAAAAGATACAAAGGAAAAATAAAAACAGTCTTTGGCATTTAAGTAGATGAGGAAACTGAGGAAAAGATAAGAGTTTAATGCCAGCCTTTTGAGCATGGGATATGAGAACCACAACAACTACATTTTCGCACTGCTTCCTGTGCTTTCATGCTGCCTTCTAAGTGTTTACAAAATTAACACATTTATTCCTTAGTGCAAGCTTATGAGGTAGTTTCTGTTATTATCCCTAATACACAGATGAGAAAATTAAAGTGCAGAGTTTAAATAAGTTCACCACTACTATGATGGTAAGCTGCAGAACCAGGGAAGTGAAAAGGAGGAGTCTTGAACAAGGGGTGGATAAAGAATCTAGGGGTAATGAAGGGCTCTATTTTAGAAATGGTGAGTTTGAGGTTACAACAAACTGTAGAAATGCTAGTGATCTGAAATATCTGGATTGGGTTCTAGAGTTAGGTTTTTGCTCCTTAATAATCCTAAAGCTTGGTTTTTCCTCATCGTATCTATTTTGTCTAAGTACACAAATAACATCTTTTAGTACATTATACAAAACATTTAGCATGTTACAGACATTTAAATCCAGTATCCTGTCCCACTAATCTACATTCCTCCTCTCCGAATACACAGCAACATTTGAATGAAACAAATTATTGAAAATAATAAAAATGATGAGACCCTCCACTTATGAAATACATATAAGATATCAGGCACTGGGTCCAATGCTTTAGTTACATTATTTATAATCATAAATTACCATATAATTTCAGAGATAAGGAAATTGAGGCTAGATGATGAAGCTGAGTTGGGGATAATAAACAGATCAGAAATCCGACCTCTAGGTATAAAACTTAAAAACATTAGCATATAAAAATCAGAAAGAAAACCAAACATGATCTCGCATTGTCTTTGGGTAAACAAATGATCCCAGTACTACAATGTTGTTTGTTTACTCACATTGTATTTAGTAATGAGATGGCAATTGTACTAGATGATCCTCTAGGTCAATCACCCAATCAAGTTTTCCTTCATTCACAAAACATGGCATTTTAGAGCTAGATCTTAGAAGATCATCTACAAAGTATGTACCAAGTATTTACATGGGAAAAGTAAATGGGTAAGTACTTTGAGGATATAATGATAGTACATGTCCTCAAGCACCTCTCAGTCTGAAAAAAGGATAATGGCTTAGATATGTATACAAATAACCATAATGTAGGACAGAGAGCAATATTGGTTCCAAAAAATGCAGGAAATGTGATACGGGAATTCAAAAGAGTATTTCTAGATGCAGGGATCACGGAAGGTTTCATAGAAATGGCATTTAAGTTGGGATTAATTGTGGAGGAAATACTGTAAATACTGTTTTTAGGAAAAATCATGAAAACAAGTACATTATAAGGCATTTATGATTAAGTATCAACTGAGCAGAACAGACAGGAATGTATAACATCTAAGGAGTAGCCAAGGAGATAAGAAAGACTTGCTGTGGGGGCCAGAAAGTAAAGTAGGATTTAAAGGAAGATTGGGGTTTGGATGTGAGGGAGATAAAGAAGACATTTAAAATGGAAGAAATAGAAAATAAGTTTTTAAAAAGTTTTCTCAGTGCCTGACACCTAGTATGTCAACATATATTTGCTGAATGAATTATATATCCAAAGACAATCTCCTCTTCATTCAGCAATTTAAGTGAGGTCATAAAGTATAACTGACTCAGAGAAAGGGTGAATATATAAATATGTCAAATAATGATAAAGCCCTTGCCAGAATGAGAAAGGATGCATGGGCTGATCCTCCCCACACTCCTGCCCCACCCAAACACAGGCAATCTGGAAAGATGAATGAGGACTAGACTAAGCTTTGTATCTTGGTTATTGGAATTCAATTATCTGAGCCAATAAGAACCCCATTTCAGAAATGCTCATACTAAAACAATGAGAGTACTGCTGGTGATCTGGTTTAGGGGTTTTTCTTTCCAATGTATCCTGAAAGCCTAAACAAGAGGGATCTGTAGCTCCCAAAGGCTCTGAAAGTAGAGCCATTAACTACCTTGGTCTTGAGGATAGATTAGATAGATGCATTTCTCATTTTTATTTTTGAGGTTATATTTCTACTCTTCCTACATTTTCTGCCTGTCTACCCTCCAAGCTTATCTGAAGATACCGTTCCCCACCTATTCTCTGTGTTCCCAACAGTCACCAAAGATTAACACTTTTCATATAAGGGTTTTCCCCAAACTCTGAAGAATAGGATGAAGTCTTTTATAAGTCACTGGTTTTTGTTGTCCAAAGGTCCTGTTGGTTATATATATCATGCCGGTTAAGTTGAGCAAAGGATAAAAGGATAAAAGGAAAGGCAGGCTAGTGGCCCTTTCTCTTAGCGGTGATAAAGTCCACTGGGAACAATGTTAAATTAAAAGCAAATAAAACCTCTTTTCTAGCCTCAGCCTTTGGCCAAGCTAATTCAGTCTTCCCAGATCTCCTTTTACCGCATCTGGAAGGTGTTTGAAGGGCAGCAAAGCACTAATTTTATCAGCAGTGCTCACGAGCAAGAGTCCCAAACTCAATAAGAAAAGGAAGTGAAACTGAGATACAAGTGCCATCCTCTGTCACATACACTATAGTGTTTAATCTACCCCCAAATCTTTTGAGATGGAACTATTAATCTGCATTCTATAGAGGAGAAAAAATCAATGCCCAGGGTCATGCAGTTAGTTAAGTGGTGGTACTAGTGTTTCAAAGCAGGCCTTTCTGTTACTCCAAACCATCACAGTCTCATCAGTTTCAAACTCAAATTTAAGATTATTCTCTTTGCCCAGTTATTATCACACTGGGCGACAGAGAGGCGCTTAATAAATGTTTTTCTTCTCAATGAAGACTATACCAAAGGAAACAAGACATTGTTCCTTTGGCCACCTGTTTGGATGTGATTTATGCTTCCCCGAATTCTTAGAGTTAAAAAAAAAAAAAAGCCCACAAAAAGACAGCTCCGCCAAGTGGCTAAGCAAGTGGATTCGCTCCCACAGTCACAGCATTTTGGCCCAAGCTTCCACCTACACAGAGGAACCAACCTCCTTGGCCACATCTTAAAGGGCCGGGACAGGGCCTAGGCTCAGGGTTCCTCCTCCAACCAAGCTCAGCCCCTCCTTAAAGAGCCGGCACGCCCAAAGCAGCTCCTCCCCCGTAGCTGCTTCCAGGGCCTCACCTCAGTGCCCTCAATAGCCTAGGTTCACACCTTGACCTCCTGTCCCCTCCTTCCTCTTTTTAGAAGCATCTCTAGGTACCCGCTACTGCTTAAGGGGGTTACCTGGGAGCTTTGACCTTCTGAATCCTATTCTCTCTGGCTGCGACTTTGGCTGTGTGAGGTTAAGCCAAAAACAAACCTTACCGCTTAGGGAGGATTCAGAGCGCTGAGCCAGGGCTGAATAAACTAGACAAATCCATCCATTCTTGGCCCCTTTCACTTCTCTCACGAAGATCCCCAAAAGTACCCCCTCCCCTTCTTAGCCCCTCTTTGCCCAACCCTTCAGCAAAGTCATTTTCCCTTGAGTTTCATTTGATTCCACATAGCGTTCTTACCCTTCCGCCTGCGCACCCGCCTCGTCCACTGCTAAAACCCAAGGAGAAGTGGGGCGTGTGGGGGTAGCAGGAAGGCTAGGGGGTGGGTAGAATCTAGACTGAAGAGACGGGAGTGGGTGGGTTCTCATCCCGGAGTCACTTACCGCCCATGTCACTAGCTGAGGACTCCTGAAATGTCCAGAGCTCATGCCGTCCTCCGGGAGGCTCATACTCCTGAGCTGATCTCAAGACAGCTGTTCCCCTCACACCCGCCCCTGTCTGACAGCGCGCCAAGCGACGCGCTCTCTTCTTCTCCTTCTCGGCCCCCCACCTCCCCTTTTTCTCCCAGCTGGAAAATAGGGAGGGGGGCGAAAGGGGAGGGAATCGATTCAGACTCAGCTGGGCCACCCTCGAAACAAGGGAAACAAAAGCTCTCAAGCATCCAACCCAAAAATCAGGGGCCGGCAGAACATACTTCCTAAAAAGAATCCTCGCCCTTGTAGCCTTTCCTTGGCTAAAAATAAAGTGGGTTCGCTGGGCCAAAGTGGCCAAGGCTTAAGATTCTCCATTCTCCTTTTACCTCCACCAATTCAATTCCGGCCAAGCCCACTCTCCACCCATCCTCTGAATTCCACACACCCTTGAAAAGGAGAGGGCCTGGGGTGGGGGCTAGGAACACCAACCCAAATCCCAAAGCACTGCTTGAACACAAAGTTGAGGCGGAGAAGGAATCTTTCAAGACGGGAACCCACGAGGAGATATCACAAGAGGATCCCTTCACCGCCGCTGTTGCCGCCGCACACCCCAGCGCCTTCCTAAAAAGAAAGAAGGGAGGAGAAAATGCCGATGATCGCTAGAAACATATAGAACATCAGCCCAGGGCAGGGGCTTCAGCGAAAAATGGCAGCAACTCGTGCAGGTCCTCTGGCGCCGGATTTCTTGGAGCTACCTAGCTGCCCCACTGGGGACCTCGCGCCCCACACGGGTCAGAACCTAAAGTGATCTCTAGGCAACCTGAGTGGGTGGAGTGACTCCGTCTTTTTCTGGCTGGGCTAGGCCCAGAGGAGAGGTGTGACTATCATAGGACTCCACCTAGGGTGGAGTTCCTTAAAGGGGACAGGCGGCCGCTAGAGGAAAGTGCAAAGTAGAAGGAGGTGGAGAAGGGTGGAGCTGAGGAGGCGGAAGAAGGAGGGAGGAGGGAAGAGGGAGGAGAGAGGGGTTGGGGCGGGGCCCTGAGCCGAGAGAGAGCTGGCCTCGCCCCTGGCGGCCGCCTTCCTCAGTCTCCAGCTGCAGCAGGTACAACTCGATTCAATTTCAGTTCCTTATCTGTCCCAAAAAGAGGCTTGCGAGCACACTGCTTGGTCACCTATTTACTCCGGTTATACTAACTCTCCAAGGGAGGGTGAAAAGTGTACGGAGATTGGGGCTGGGAGCTGTCTAGGAAGAAAGGGATGGGGGAAAGGGGAAAGCAAAAAAGCCGGCAACTAGAAACGCTTTACCCTCCTAGCTCTCCATGATAACAATGTGACACTAGCAAAGACAGCGAGGTCACAGTGTCTTCTTAGGGAGGAAGCTAAAAGGAAAGGATATTGGAATTGGGTACATTTTCTAGCAAGAGATAAGGAAAGAAGGTGAGGGTGAAGGGGTGGGTGGAGAAGAAGGAGGAGTTGAAGATGAATTGCTGCCAATACAGTATGGCCCAGCGGGGAGACTTAAGACAGGCTTTCTCAGTCTCCCAGATACCAGACCTCTAAGAATAGAGTTCTCAACACCCGCCCCCCCGCCCCCAGACTGCCTCTCAGCCAGGCATTGGTGAAGATCCCTGTGGAGCTGAATCCATAGTATAGGAGCCACATTTCCAGGATTTCTTTGCCCTTGCCTGAAAGTCCCTCTCTAGCTCATTTTAATAGGCCAGGAAGTCACAAGCAACCACAGCCCCTTTTCAGTGCCTCTTCCCTACCGCAATTCTTTTAGAGGGGAGGAAAGAAAAGAGAGACAAGAAACAAAGCAGAAGGAGGGAGCAGAAAGACAGGGGAAATAATAATAGCTGTTATGTATTCAGCACCTAATATGTGAACAAGTCACTAGGCCAGGTGCTTTTATATTCATCACTTTTCCATTTATTCCTGGTAACAACCCTGGAAAGTAGGTACTATTATACTCTGTGCCCTTTTTTAAAAAAAATAAGGAAACTGAGGGTCAGAGCCCAGTACTTCTCAACACTTATACCCACTTGCTTAATTGATATTTCTGCATGAATGTATTCTAAGCATCTCTTCCTCCTTTCTTCCCCCCAAACACTCTGTTCTTCCTCCTATAGTTCACCAACTACCTGAATGACACCATCATGCACCCCAATATCCAAGATAGCACCCTGGAACTCATCCTTTAACCTGCTGTGCCCTGGCTCCTGCCTACCTCTCAAGCAGCAGAGCTTTTGCTGCTCTCCTGGGCCTTACCTGGATTGCAGATCACAGATCCCTGAGAATACCAGGCTGTTTCCAACCTCTATGCCTTGGGTCCCCTTACTTTCTCTGTCTGAAATAGCCTAAGCTCTCTGTCCATCTCCTTGAAAGGACTAACTCAAGGTCACCTCCCCTCCTTACTTAATCCCTTCAGCTAAAACTGACCATGGCTACCTCTGTGCCCATCTCTACCTCAGGGCACATATTTGTTGATATAATTGCCTCTTCCTACTAGACTATAAAGTTCCTCAGGTTAAGCACCAGATGTTGTCATTTCTGTAACCTGGATGCCAAGTACTATTATTATTAACAACAATAATGGTTATTGAGCATTAACTATGTACCAAGCTCTGTTCTAAGCCATATATGTGTGTGTGTGTGTGTGTGTGTGTGTGTGTGTACTCATTGAATCCTTCTGACAATTCTGTGGGTAGGTATTATTACTATCCCCATTTTACAAATAAGGAAACTGAGGGACAGAAATTAAATACACATATGTATTTGTTGCATAAAAGAATGTCTCTGTAGTAGGGGTTTTATAAAGAACTCCCTGTCTCACTGTACCATATCTCTTTACCATGATCTGCATGCCTGCCCAGCTTACAAGATAAGATATATTAACATGGAACCATATAGACAAATGTATAATTCTCTACACATTCTTTAAAAAATGAATCACTTTATCCCTTGGAGTCTTAGTTTCTCAGTGTATAAAATTTGAGGAGTATCACTCAATGTAGGATTCTCACCACTCCAACCAAGGCTATTTTCAGCAACATTAGAAGGTTTTCTCTTAGATTCAAGTGTGTGAAGGACATTGAACTGTTTATATCAAGAATGAATGGAGTTTTGTAATGTGCAGATGAAGATGAGTACATAATTGAGGTAAAATTTTGAAAAGAGTAGCCACTAGAATTCTTTGTCTATACTAGGTGTTCCTTAAGGTCATCAGTTCCTTGTTCAATTTGGAAAAGCTTATCAAGAAGAACTATCCATATGCAGATAGCTAAACAGTTTATATTTTATTAAAAATCCTTCTCGTTAACTAATTTATGTTAAGCCCTAATTTTTTGTTTGTTTTTAAAATACTGCCTGAACTTTATTTGTGGGGAAAACTTAGAACTTGGATGGCAAATTCAGTTTTTGGAAAACATGAAGTACATTATTGAAACTTGGGAAAAAACTCCAAGATTCTTCCCTATCCATTTTTCCATCCAATTTAGTCAATAAAATGTATTGAGCATCTGTGCTATATCAAGAACAATGCTAGGTGTTAGGGAGAAAAATGAGAACATCCATTCTCTCAAAGGAGCTCCAGTGGAGGAGCCCTCAGTTTCACTATATACAGCCTATTAGTCCACATTTCTCCTTCAAGTCTTTTAGGGATGGCCTCTGTCTGACTCAAATTAGGACCCAAAGGTGGTTGACAGGGAACTAGGTACCCAATGACCACAGTTAATGGCAAATGCAGGACTTTTCCTTTATATTACTAATATTTGCCTCTTGAAACATCAATAATCAGCATGTATTTGGTGTTGTCTGTGTCACAGGACAGGGTGTGAGGGAGCAGGTATGGAGAACTAGAAGTCATGATCAGTTTCCCTCTCTTTCTAGGAAGCACCACAGGCTATCCTTTCTTTAGCTGGCTTAAGAAGTAAACCAAACAGTAACCTACAATATCTTCAACTCCTTTCATCCCACCCTAGGCCTCAGGGAGACCGACTCCTTAAAGAAGCAGCTTGTGTTTTCTTCTATATACCAAAAGAAACAGATGAGGAGTATAAGAGTTAAATTAAGCATGGAACCTGATGAAAGGCAGCTGAGAAGTATGCAGACACTCCATGTGTCAGGACCTAGGAGATGCTGTTCTTTCCTTCCCCTCTTTCTTCTCTTCATCTTCCAGCTTCTCCTCCTCCTCCTCTTCTTCCTGAAAGCTGGCTGACAAACTACCAGGGTGGAGCCCAGTCTGAGGGATGAAGGGAGGGGAGGAAGAAAAGCCTCAGTAAGAGGACTCCACCCTCCCTGCTCCCAGAAGAACAACAATAAGGCTTGAGAACAGGGGCTGAGAGGAAGGTGGGAAAGAATAGGATGAAGAGAGGAAGGGTGGGGAAATGGAAGGGGAGTTTAGGGCCCAGCAGGGTGAAGCTACAGGGCAGGATTGGGTAGGGAAGTCAGGCAGTATATAAACAGAAAAACCTGCATTCTTAAGTCACTGTTGTGCATGGAACAACAAAAATGTAGCTGAAACTGGGGCATAGCTCAGACCTACTAGGAACAAAATTGTTCTCCTCACCCACTCTTCTTCTTGCTCTGCAGTTCCCCAGAGGGCATATTCCTCCTGCTAGCTCAGCTAGAAGGAGACCTTTTACCCCTCTGCTAATGGTGAACCTGTGTTGAGTTCTTCACATGTCCCAGAGGACAGTGCTAAGTTTACTGCCAGCAAAGGACAAAGATATTTTGGAGAAGGAAATCTAGTTAGCTGACAGGAGAAAGCCTGGAAGGAGATTGTGGGAATAAAGCAATGATTCAGCTTACAAGCTGTGCAATCTTGGGCAAGTGGCTTCACATCTATCTTGAAACATTAGTTTCCTCACCTATTTCTCTTAATGATATACTGCTAATACTTCACAGAATTATCAAAAAGATTAAATAAGACGTGGAGGTGGCTTTACAGTAAAATTAATTAAGCTTAAGTTTTGCGGCCCCTTTCCAAGACTCTGGGAGGAATGGAACATTGTATTTTTCTTTTTTTTTTTCTAATCTACAACATTTATTCAGAGCAGTCCAAAGCAAATCAGCTGTGGGACAGTTGCTCCAGTGGTGCAGGGCTGGGCTCTGGTGACACGGCCTGTGGGAGACCAGGTTGCCAGGTGGAAAGGCCAGGCCGGGGGCTTGCCTCATCAGTTTTTGTGGCGGTTTTAGATTTTTTTTAAATTTCAACATATTATGGGGGTACAAATGTTTAGGTTAAATATACTGTCCTTGCCCTACCCGAGTCAGAGCTTCAAGCATGTCCATCCCCCAGACGGTGCACATCGCACTCATTATGTATGTATATACCCATCCCCTCCTCCCCCCGGCCATCTGCCTGACTCCTGATAAATGTTATTCCTGTATGTGCACTTAGGTGTTGATCAGTTAAAACCAATTTGATGGTGAGTACATGTGGTGCTTATTTTTCCATCCTTGGGATACTTCACTTAGTAGAATGGGTTCCAGCTCTATCCAGGATAATATAAGAGGTGCTATATCACCACTGTTTATTGTAGCTGAATAGTACTCCATGGTATACATATACCAATTTTATTAATCCACTCATGTATTGATGGACACTTGGGTTGTTTCCACATCTTTGCAATTGTGAATTGTGTTGCTATAAACATTCGAGTGCAGATGTCTTTTTTATAGAATGTCTTTTGTTCTTTGGGGTATATGCCCAGTAATGGGATTGCTGGATCAAATGGTAGATCTACTCGTATCTCTTTGAGGTATCTCCATATTGCTTTCCACAGAGGTTGCACTAGTTTGCAGTCCCACCAGCAGTGTATGAGTGTTCTTATCTCTCCGCATGCACGCCAACATTTATTGTTTTGGGACTTTTTGATAGAGGCCATTCTCACTGGGGTAAGTGATATCTCATTATGGTT